ATATTTTTCGAAAATAATTTTTCTTATAACATGCAAGATGAATCAAATTCACAAAAGAGATCTCGTGAAAACGAAGAGACCATAGATCAAGAATCTATAAATAAATAACCTAGACGAAGTAAGAGGGCTAGGACGTCAACCTCCTTTGGGCCTGATTTTCTAACATATTTGTTAGAAAATGAACCTCAAAGTTTTAAGGAGGCTATGTCATCAACCGAAGCTTCATATTAGAAAGAAGCTGTTCATAGTGAAGTTGAATCCATACTACAAAATCATACTTGGGAATTAGTAGACCTCCCTCCCGGTAATAAGCCTTTGGGATGTAAATAGATTTTCAAAAAGAAAATGAAAGCAGATGGATCAATTGACAAATATAAAGCAAGACTTATCGATAAAGGCTACAAACAAAAAGAAGGTCTTGATTATTTCGATACCTATCCTCCTGTGACAAGAATCACTTCCATACGTATGCTTATTGCAATAGTAGCATTGAATGATTTGGATATACATCAAATGGATGTTAAAAAAATATTTTTGAATGGGGAATTAGATGAAGAAATTTATATGGAGTAATCTAAAGGATTTGTGGTCTCAGAACAAGAAAAGAAAGTGTGTCGACTTGTTAAATCATTATATAGATTAAAGCAAGCTCTTAAGAAATGGCATGAAAATTTTGACAAGGTTATGATGTCAAGTGGTTTCAAAATTAACGAATGTGACAAATGTGTTTATGTCAGGAACACTCCAAATGGATATGTCATGGTATGTTTATATGTAGATGACATGTTGATTATGGGTAACAATGATACCATAATTCAAACTACAAAAAGGATGCTAACAAGTAAATTTGAAATGAAGGATTTAGGTGTGGCCGATGTTATATTAGGAATTAAAATTTCTAGAACATCTGATAGTCTCATATTGTCTCAATCACACTATATTGAGAAGATTCTTGATAAATTTAAGAAATATTATATTATTCCTATGAAAACACCTATGGATGTTAGTATGCATCTTGTTTCCAATACTGGTGATAGTAAGTCTCAATTGGAATACTCTCGTATTATTGGTAGTTTAATGTATGTCATGAATTGCACTCGACCTGATATTGCCTATTCACTTAGTAGGCTAAGTTGATATACAACTAATCCAAGCACTGATCATTGAAAGGCTATTGTTAGAGTTTTATGGTATTTAAAACATACCCAAAATTTTGGATTGCACTATTCGAGATATCCAGCAGTACTTGAAGGGTACTGTGATGCAAATTGGATATCAGATACTAAAGACTCCAAATCAACAAGTGGATATGTCTTTACACTTGGAGGTGCTGCAATATCATGGAAATCTTCAAAACAAACATGTATAGCTAGGTCAACAATGGAATCTGAATTTATTGCATTAGACAAAGTCGAAGAAGAAGCCGAATGGCTACGAAACTTTCTAGAAGATATTCCATGTTGGATAAAACCTGTGCCTGTTATATGTATCCATTGCGATAGTCAATCAGCAATTGGTAGGGCACAAAATGCAATGTATAACGGTAAATCTCGACATATACGTCGTAGACACAATACTGTTAGACAATTGCTCTTTACAGGCATTATCTCTATAGAGTATGTGAAATCAAAAGAGAATATTGCGGATCCGCTAACTAAAAGTTTAACAAAAGAGCAAGTTGAAAGTTCATCGAAGGGGATGGAATTAAAACTAATAAAATAATCAAAAGTTTCGATGGTGGCAACCCAACCTAGTTGACTGAAGATCCCAAGATCTAGGTTCAATGGGACAATCGAACTGTGAAAAACTTAGTATGCACTGGGAAGATTTTACTTCTACCCATTCCTATGATGAGCTAGTGCCCAGCTGTCACGAAATAGGTTAAGATACGCTTTTAATTATTTCTATAGCTTGATTCGTTCAAGTGGAGTATAGCAGAATACTCTTTATGGAAATCACCTATGTGAGTGAGAAGGGGCCGCTTCTAAGAGAATTAGATGAAGATGAATTCTTTAAAAACCACTCATGAACCAGGAGGTGTCCAAGGCCAAAATGGACACAAACGTGAGAACCAACTGTGTTCGAAGAAAACCGTGTAACTTCTATTGTTTAGGTTTCCATAAACGGCTGACTGTTCAAAGCAACTTGCTACTAATTGGCTAAGGAAATCCGATAGATTTTACTAGGGAAAGTTCAAAGTCATTGACTACTTATCCCGATGCAATCTTCTTCAATTTTCTCTTTGAAAAAAACATATCAGATGTTATCGTTTGGAATAAGGTCAACATATTTCATTCATGTGGGGGATTGTTAGAAAAAATGGTTATGAAATGGGTCAACTTTGAGCCCAAATTTCAGTCGGACCCACCTTTTAATTAATACGGGACCTAGCATATTCACGTTCTACTCCGCGAGATGATTAACGTGAAATATTTATTTATCGAAAACCATTTAAAATTGAATAAAATATTAAGTGTTAAAGTAACCCACATAAACTAAGTATTATGGAAGAATTTGATTTTCCAAACACTTATCCCACATAGGAAAGTTAGGAAACTTTGGTGTGGTTTATAAGGTGGAAGTTTGGAATTGGGTTTGGGCCCAAGGGGTACCAATAGTCTTTGGAAGGGGGAAGACCTATATCCTATTGGATTCGGTCATAAACCCACATGCGCGCGCCGCCGCCGCCGTCCGTCCGACCGGTCGGCCGGCTCGGCTCGACACGGCACGAGCACGTGCCCGTGTCCGAGTTCGGTCCGGTTCGGTTCCGTGCGGGTGCGGGTGGACCTTTACACTATATTAACTTTTTGGACAAAATTTATTTAAAATTTAAATTTTGGCTTATTTCGGGTGTTTTATTTTCTTTTAACAGTCGACTGTTAACCGACTTAACAGACGCGACTTTTAAAAACATCATGTCTGTTCGAATTTTTGAGGTTTGTCTGAAAGGTGATGACTGTTCGAATGGCCACGAACAAGTCTATAAATAGCCAGTCTCTTTACCAGAAAATTTACACCATTTTCATTGCAAACTTTCTGTGCTTTGAATCTGATTTCCCTCTCTCTCATTCTGATATTGTCTCGAAATAAAACACACTTCGTTGAGTTCGTTGGAACTCCTGCAGATTGCAGTGCTGCTTCTGTAGGAGACTAAAATTCGTTCTATCCTGGGAAACGATTGTTGGACGTCTTTAGCACCATTGAAGGCAGCAAGTTCATTTTAAGGAAATATCGTGAAGTCGGTGGGCTCGAATTACAATTTTGGATCCTATTGATCATTTCTTACATTCAGGTAATTCTGTCGAATTATTTTCGAAGGAGTAACTTCAAACTCCAAAAACAACAAGAAATACTCTATGTAAATTTCCTTTTTTGGGACAGAGAAACCCCCTAATTCTGTCCCTAACTATGTGTGTATCAATGCTAAATACTTGATAGATGCAAAAGACAATATTTAATATTATATCGTCTATAATTTGAAAGCTAAATTAAGAAATAAAGCATTCCCTTTATCGTACTTTCAAAACGTGGTCATCACAAGGACTCAATTGAAACTGTTTTGGTTGTTTCATGGCACCGTTACAAAATAGATAGAAATAGACAGTCATAACTACAAATCCAACAAAATAAGTCCACTAGGAAAAATTGATTGCTTACTACACACCATACAAAAAGTTTAAAATGCATTAGGTTAGAAGGCGATGCATGGAGAGAGAAGATGATAAATTCTATCAACCACACCCTCTTGAATTGGATTCTCTTTTGTTTTCATCTGATTTTGTTTTTGAGAAAACTAGAAGAAAATAGTAAAGATGATGGTACGGAATATTTATTCGTATTGAACAATATGATGAACAAAATTTTAGCACCTCTCCCTATTCTACCATTGAAATCACTTCAAATTTACAGATATAAATCTACACTCTGCGAGCGTTTGAGTGAATGCAAGAGTTTGTAGACAGCACCATTCTATATATAACATGCCAACCGAATAAGAAAGGCCGGAATGTCAAGTTACTTGACAAAGAACACGAGCGATAAAAAGCTGAGACATTAACTTGCATAGATAAGATAAAGTGTCAACAAGCAAAACTGTCTCATGTACATTTTACGAATCATTATACCTGAAAAATGACTTCTCACTTGTACAAAATGAACAAAAAGCAAAAAAAGAATAGTTGAACTTGAAGATTTAGAGCGTGTTAGGTTGGGGTTAAAATTATATTTTTAATAGATTTTGATAGAAATTTTTGAAATGTGTGATTGAAAAATTGTAAGACCTGTGAAAGATGTGATTAAAATTGATTGTTTGAGTTTGACTCAGATTTTAGTCTGAGCCAAACAGGGTATAATCACATCTTTATGTCACCTCTTAAGTCCCAGCATTAAAGGATCTTTAGAATCTCTTTTCCATCCACTAGTTCAGGTTGTAGCAGTGCAGAAACTAATAGACTTTGTCTTGACTGAACTCTGTAAAAATATTGAATCATGTTACTTGTACATTGAATTTGATATAATTATTTATATTGTATCAGGTGGTGATATCACATTGAACAGTTTGAAAATAAAAAAACATTTTCCTGCCAACACTTATTTTGAAAACAATGGAATGTCAAGAATAATGTCAAACTGTTAATGTACAAATAGCATTGTTGAAAAGTATTTTACATATTTTATATTCTATTAAATTTTCTCAGATTTACTTTAGCCCTTGTTTGTTCATCCTTACTTTAATATTATTTTTTTCTCAAATTTATTTTCAATTACACGTTGTTGCTGTCCTACTTTTAATTACGTATTCTATAAAAATTCAGTGCTCCTAAACTCATTTTTTAACTTTAATGGTAGACGATCAGGGACTTAGGTCCTGCCTGGAAGCAATTTTGATGAAATTTTCTGACGGTTGCAAATGTACTAGCCCCAATTTGTGCCGTCATTTTTTACTCCATATGAAATGAAATATCAAAATTGCCCTTTTCTGAATAATGTTCAATTTTCAATAATTGTGGCTGTATAATAGTATGATTTTCTCTACAAAATTGATTAAATTTCTTCCACGCTTAGGAGGGCCGTCACGATGATTTACTATGTATATGTTTTACGTACGAATGTTTGGGAGTGGTTCGGATTGAAGAAAGAAAAAATCCCTATTAAAGTCTGTACGCGATTATTTCATAGTGTATTTCTTGTTTTACTTCAATTTCAAGAATCAAATTCTCTCCTATTTTGCAGCACTTTAACTCTCAATAATGGCGTCTTCGGCTCTCTCCAGAATTGCTAATCTCCAAAGACACTTCAACCCTTCAAATCCCACCTCAAAGGTACTCTCTTTTTCTTCTCCCTTGCTCTAATTTTTCTTTACTGATGTCTGTGTATGTATCTATACACACACTATCATAACATTTTAGGTGTAATTTTTGTACCTCTGCAATTTGAAGAATATTTTATTAGTTCACCATTAGCTGTATTCAAATGTTAAGTTTTGTTAATAAAATATAACTTTGAAAATCAGGTTCACAAAGTAAGTAACTTTTTTAATCTTTGCCTAGCTCATTGGAGAATTTGCATGAATATTCTGTTATTTATTGTTTAATTGTATTAGGACTTGATTAATTTGTTGTTTTACAGGTTGAAGGACTGATAAAGATATCCCCAGAAGTTTCTGAAGCTTTAACGCATAGGAGACCGGTGGTTGCTCTAGAATCCACCATAATTTCTCATGGTATGCATAATGGAGTCACACCCCTGTTTGGTCTCCATTTTAATGTGATTTTGGGAGGAAATGTATTTTGGAAATAATGATCACTTGTAATATAATAATATTATTTTATTGATGAATGTGTGGTTGAAATGAAGAAATAGAAAAATGCATTAAAATTAAAATGGAGCCCAAACAATGGTAAAACTTTTCAGTGATCTTTAGTTTGTTCTTCATCAATCTAAAAAAAAAAAAAAAGAAGAAGAAGAAAGAGTCTGATGTATTCCTTTCCTGTTTTAGTCTTTCAGTACGCGAAGTCGTGATAGCTGGACCGTTACTTAATTATTATCAATATTTTAGACAACTTAACAAGAGAATTACTAGCAAGGCACTAGCACAAAACCTCGTCTTGCAATTGCATTGGACTTGTCAGTAGATCCTGTCTAAGGTACCTTATTGTGGCCTGTGGGTAGAGTTGTTATTGTGGATACAAACTTTTATAGTCTGGCATGCCATCAAGTTCAGTGTTCATATTCTTATTTAACTTTCAGTTTCTGTTTACGTCCTTTTTTGTTATATGACAGAAAATCGTTTGTGTCATGGGGAAGCTTTTGGATTCCTTGTGAATCTTGCATTGACAATGAAATAGCACGAAGTTCTTGTTTGCCAAAGATATTGTTATGACCTGTGTTTTGTTTGATTGAGAATTAGTATTCTACGGACCACAGTTTCTATTTTTTACATGCTTAAACTTGTTAGTTGTTGATGATGTGAAACCTCATCGTGCATACTTATACATGTCATTTCACCTGTTTTTTAGGGATGCCGTATCCTCAAAATTTGGGTACGGCAAAAGAGGTGGAGGCAATAGTCAGAGAAAACGGAGCTGTACCAGCCACCATCGCTATTTTGGACGGTGTACCCTGTATAGGTCTTTATTGAACCTTCTTCTTTTTGTCTAACCATGATTTACTTTTATAACATTCAATATCCTCATCAAAGGGTATATTAACACAGTCCATTAGAGTTTCTTGAGGAACATTTAGTGTAGTGCTAGTAAATATTATTTAATTTGAAAACCATTTTGGTTGTACAATTTAGATCTTGTCAGAGCGGAGTTTAAAAATATTCAGATATGGTTATTGCTAGCTATTGTCAACTATGCTTAACAAAATTCTTTTGAAATCCATTTGACCTGTCAGATACATTATTGCTAGCTAAATCTCTGCTCTCTTGCCTCTGTCGTTGAGCATGATCTTATCTGCAGATTCTATTTTACATTTTTATATGGGTAGAAGACATTGGAAAATTAGAAATCTGAAGTTTCCTTCTTAAAAAGTTGTAATCAGCTCACTTTATGAAAACTGAACATGTTCTTGTCGTGTAATTTGTAAATGGAATCTTGTCCGATGGCTCACTGGATGATGGTTATATTTACCAATAAAACACAATGCGATGAATGGTGAGCTCTCATAACATTTTCAGGTTCTTTCATAAAATAACATAACCTCTCTCCTGTTATTTCTTTTCCTTTTTGAAGAATTTTCTCATTGAGGGAGGAGGGCTAACTATTCATCTTGTTTTCAATTACTTGTTATCTCATGTAATGGTGGCAAATTTGTACCTATTGATTGCCTTAAAGCTTCTTTCTTTTAGTCTGCTAGTTATGCACAAAACTCATTTTCAGAATGGAAAAAACTATATGTATTGTTTGCGTTTGTAGACTGATGTTTTATTTTTAGGTTTGAGTATGGATGAACTAGAGAGGCTGGCTAAAATGGGAAGTAAAGCTCGGAAGACAGCTCGCAGGGACATTGCACATGTTGTGAGTATTAGAAGCTAGCTTAATTGTGTTTGTCAGCAGCCTTGGATAATTTCCTTTATAAACATATATGGTGTCAACATATTGATTGCAATACGAGAGATAGAAACTCTCAATATTTCTCATCATCATTTGATGCTTGGGAGAATCACTGTGCTTTTTCCATTTACAGTAGTAACTCTCATGATGTGAAAAAATCTTTATTCCCAGATTTAATGCCCTGCTGGTCAAATTTCATGACCATTTATGTTTGTTCTGTTAGATATTTAGCATGTCTTGCCCAGGTTTTACCTTCTTCCATCAAGTTGTTTTGATTAGTACCACGTGTCTTCTGTTTGAATGTATGCTTGGCAACATTTATATTGTTGAACGTCGATAAAGTGTTATTTTAATTGTTGAACGTGAAAAAATTTTTTACGAACACATTTGGCTAAAGTTTAAAAAGAGGTAATACTAACAAAACTTACTTCTAGGAATCAAATCTTAACTTACTTTTTAGAAAGTAGCTTATAAGCTTAGCCAGATATGCTCTTAATGCCTAATTTGAGCTTAGATCCTTTTAACAGGTGTACGATAGTACTATGCATTGATTATTGGCAAATTTTCCAGGTAGCTACTAGAGGAAATGGTGCAACGACAGTTTCTGCAACAATGGTTTTCGCTTTCATGGTGAATGTTGCAATCTTATAAGCTTCTTTTTTGTTTCATTTTTTTTTTTTCTTTTTCTACCAAGCGTGCCTGTAAAAGGTATGTAATTGCTATTTTTTCTCATATTTGCAGGTTGGGATTCCAATATTTGTTACCGGGGGTATTGGTGGAGTGCATAGATATGGAGAAAGTAGTAAGTTAACAAACAAGATTTCATTTGTAGTGTTGACAGCAACCATTGAGTGCACTCTTGAGTCATAAATTTTTGAGGCTGGTGGAATGATTATCGGTAAAGAAACAAAGTAGTTGGCAGAATAACTTGTTCTTTATTATTTTCTTGCAGCAATGGACATATCTTCTGATCTTACGGAGCTAGGGAGGACTCCGATTGCTGTAATTTCTGCGGGTGTAAAATCAATATTAGATATCCCAAGAACCCTCGAATATTTGGTAATTCCTTGTTACTCCAAATATTATAAAGAAATCCTATAGCTTTATGCATAATAAATGAAAAAAACTATTGTTTGCTGAACTACAGGAAACACAAGGGGTTTGCATTGCAGCATATAAGACAGACGAGTTCCCTGCATTTTTCACAGAAACAAGTGGCTACAAGGTCTATATTTACACCATTTAGCCTCATTCCATTATAGTAGGAGTCCTGATAGTAACTCTTCCGACCAATGTGTTGTTCTTATCCTTAGCACTGAATTCTGTGATTGTGTCTAAATAGTTACATAATATATCACCTGTGTACTACATTAAATTGTAGACTTGCATTTTCTGCGGCATTTTTCCTGGTGAAGTTCTTTCTTCCCCTATCTTTTAAATTTATTAACTGGTAAATTCTGCCCAAAAATTCTAGGCACCATGTCGAGTTGATTCGCCTGAAGATTGTGCTCGATTAATAGGCAAGGTGTTTCTTCATTTTCTATTATGCATCTTTTCTTTTGTTTAGTAATGTTCTCTGCTTCTGGTCCCGCAGATTCAAACATGAATCTTGGCATGAACAGTGGGATTTTGGTAGCTGTCCCTATTCCAAAAGAATACTCTGCTTCAGGAAATTTTATCGAGTCTGCAATACAAAAAGCTCTCAAGGAAGCTCGGTAAATCTTTGTTCTCAATCACGTTAATTTTGAAACAGCTGTAAATGGGCTATTGCTTCTTATTTGTTTTATATGTTACATATCGTTATTCAACTCAGGGAGCAGAATATAACTGGCAGTGCAGAAACTCCATTCTTGCTTGGTAGAGTGAATGAACTAACTGGAGGGGCCTCTCTTGCTTCAAGTATCCTTTATATAATGCTTTAGGATCAATAGACAAATACTTCTTTGGGCTTAAGATTTTTTTTCCCCTTCTTATTCTATTCTACACAAATTTCACTAATTTGCCTTGAACTGTTTACATCTTACTAACGATTTTTTTTATTACATAAATTTCGTCCTATTATATCCTACCCAATTTCACTAATTTGCCTCGACCTTTTTACGTCCATCTTATTGTATGCATTTCCTTAATGCCGTCTTAGACATCGCTCTTGTGAAAAATAATGCATGCCTTGGTGCTCAGATTGCTGTCTCCCTCGCTCGGCTCCGAGAAAATAGTTGAAAGTGAGTGTTGACCTCTCTATGTTTTCAGCTAACAATATTTTTTTTAACGCTGTCCTCTCTATTTTGTTCATGTACTTCCATTTGTATTTATTATCTTTAGAACTTGAAAGAATTTATCATATTTATCACCCCTGTTCAAGTGTCGAGGCCACGAAGCACTTCCATATGGTGCGTTGCGCATATTGATCTCAACAAAAACTGTTCTGGTTCTTTTTGTTTCAAAACATTGTCTAATTGTATCTTGAGGCACGTGAGGCTTTCATTCGACATGTCGAAGCAGGCTTACACCTCGAGTACCATTTGTCGAGGCGTAATCGAGGCATAAGCCTCGACTTACTGAGACTTGTGCCTCAAGGCCAAGTCTAAGGGCAGTAGTACTCATTTATATTACCTTTTTTAAACATTGACTCTACAGTGCTGAACAAATGCAGTAACCTTATTCATTGATATTTTAATTGTAGGGACAAAATGGAGCCGAGTAGAGTAAAAGAGCCAACAGTCGACATCTATGTCTAGGGAAGCTGACTAAGTATTTTAGTCTCTAACCCTCTCATTCTGCTCAAAGTGGAAACTTTAATCTTGAACAAACAACACAAATGCGGAAGAGCTAGTTCATACATCTTCAATGTATTCTTTTCTTTTTTATTTTCTTCGGGTAGGCAACGAAGAGCTACCCGACTCTTCAAGGATGCTTATTCTTCTTTGAAATTTCTTGTTGGCTTGTTAGACTATGTGGAGCATATGTATACTTTTTCATTCACGGGTATACTCGTTACAATATTTTTGGACAAAACATGTGTGAGATCCTTTATATCCTTCTTTTTTACTATTACGGTAAAAATTTGCGACAGCGAGTGGATTGAACTCTCATAGTAAAGATGAACACTATGTCTTGATTCCTAACACGTCTCTGTAAATTATAGTTCGGTCGAGAGCTTTAAAATATATCATATTACGATTTTGGGATGCTTCTCTTTGGCTTCTTACTTTGCCCTTTTTGTTTTTTTCTTTATAGGAGAAGATGATACCAGTTTAGAGGTCACTGGCTCTCTCTCTCTCTCTCTCTCTCTTTTTCTTTTAAAGCAGAGGAAAACATAATAAAAATTTGGGAGCATATAGCCAAAGTGGACAGGTTCTTGCAATTGCTGCGAGTTAAAATGAACCAGAGAACAAATCTGATAGCACCTTGTTTGGCTTGTAAGGGCATGTTTGGAGCCTTGTGAATATTGAGGAATATTAATGTCGTTGGCCAACTCTTTGATTCCCTATACAATCTATGTCCAAACAAACATAACAGCACAAGAGTTTTCCCAAATTCTAGAAGAGACATTTGGATTGTTAGCATACTTTTATTTCTTTATTTAGAGAGAGGGGCGGAGGGTAAGGGGAGAGTTGTTCACCAAAGGATTTTAGCATAAAGTATTGAATAAAATTAGACAATATTTCTTATACGTTATAAAATATTATTCTCCGTAGTCGAGAAAAAATTTGAATATTTAATAGGTAATGTAAGAATTTAAGTCTTAACTCAAATGAAAATAATTGACAAATGTACAACACATGAAAATTTCCAAATTCAATGAATACGCACATACTTATATGTGTATATGGAGAAGGTGGTGGAGGGTGAGAGTCACGGGCGGACCCACATGGGGTCATGTGGGGTCAAATGACCCCACAGTTTTCTGATTTTTTTTTTTTTTTTTTGGGTGCTGAAAACTTAATTTTCTGTTTTTCTTTTTATGCTGAAAATTTAATTTTTTGCCTCAAAAAGTCCAAATTCTAAATCTATATCCATATCACATGGTTCATATCCATTATTTGGTCCATAAATATATCATATAATCCAACGATTTCTTCCCAAAGTGCACATATCAAATATGAACAGTAAACAACCGATTTTTCCTTTTTTTCCATGATACGTTGTTCGAAAAAAAAAATTTGACCCCACAGTTCAAATGGTCTGGGTCCGCCCCTGGTGAGAGTTATTCTCAATATGGTCTGCTAAAAAATTAGTACATACTTGTATGTGTATATGGAGAAGTTGGTGGAGGGGGAGAGTTATTCTCAAGATGGTCTGCTAAAAAATTAATATATATTTAGGGTAGAACATCGGACAAAACTTAACAATATAACAAATAAGATTTTAATGGTATTCCTTTTGTTATTTAAGATAATCGAAAAACTTGTACATTATAAAAGGTTTTGAAACTCAAGTCGACAAAAGAAATGCATGTGAAGTACTTAAAGAGTTTTACTTCAATAAAAATCATTGAACCTTTAAATTAGAACACTTTTCCCCTTAGATATAAGACGGATGAGTGTGGGTATGTACTTTACTCCGTTTTCTTGATAAAAATGGTATAACAAGAGCTCAATCTTCTGTTCATCTTAGTTACTATTTGATTTTGATTAAAATCAAAATTTTAATATATTTTAATAAAATGACGAAATGTACGATTGGAAGTTCATAAAAAGTGTGAATTTCATGTGATGTATGATTAAAATTGTTTTTTGACTTTGATTTAAATATTTATCAGTCTTTTAGCTAAATCAAACAGTGTTTTCATTTTGTTATAATTTAGTATGCATTATAATCCAAACTTCAACATACAAGTAATAGTAATTCAAACCAAGAAAAATTTCTTAGGAAATTCCTGAATTTTGACATAATTTTAAACAGAGACATATTTCTTCTCTTTAGTAGACTAACATAGATTTGTGTTCTCATTAACAAAAATATCAAAACCATATATTCAAATGCTCAAAATGATACTCGGATCAATAAGAAATTGAAGTTCTAAATGCACTTATTGTAAATGAGAAATATTTTTAAGGAACGTTAACTGGAAAAAAATAAAATGAATATGACTCATATTTGAAGGTATAAACTTGGGTAGTATAGATTTTATTTATAGCGCGCGCACAAAAATGCACTTGAAGAATCGGATTGACGCCTCGATCCATTGAAGTCATGTGCGAGTTCCTTTTGAATTGATATATTTTGAACTTTCACTCAACTTAATTGTATTGAATATTTCCGTTTGAGCTCCATTTTTGGAAAAATATGTTTTTGAGTGACGATTTTTGGAGAAAATATATTTAAAAAATAGAAAAAATTCTGAATTTATATGTAAAATTATTTTATGTGAGAATGTGTAGTGGATAATGAATTTTAAAATAAATAAATTTTGAGGAAAATCAGTCTCAAACAAGGTTTTAACTCCTCCACATTATTGTCATTTGATGTGCCATTTTCTTCGTCCCTTTGAGGAGAAAATGACGAGAGATTTCATGGACAAAGAATATGTACAAATTTCAAGACACGGACTTTTTAACTTTCTGCGGAAAGGATAAAGGTGCAAAAAATGGCACTTTTTCTCACAAATTCCATATTCCTTCAACAGACGACACCAAAGCACACTTTGGTGACAAAAACTACCCCTCCCGCATTGTAGACAAACGTAGCCATGTGGAACTCTTTCAAAACCGACTGAAATCTTGTGTTTTCTTGGCCATAGAACTGAACCAAGCTGCTCTCTCTAGTCTCTCCCTCTCTAACAAAATTCATTGGAAAACCAGAGTCCTAGCTAATTGTGAGCATTTTCTTGGGGAATTTTGTGGGTTTTTAATGAATTATAGAACCCAGAAGGGAATTTAGAAATCTGGTGTGTAAGTTCTTGCTATTTGAATTCTTAGCTATAGACTGAGCCAAACCGCTCTTTCTCTCTCTAACAAATCCATGAAAAAACCAGAGAGTTCTTAGCTGTTTGTGGAAATTTTCTTGAGGCCTTTTCTGGGTTTTGATGAATTGTAAAACCTAGTAAGGAATTTAGAAATATTGATTTGGTAAGTGAGTTCTTGTACTTTTGATCCGTTCCAAGTTTTGGTTGTTTTCGCATTAAATTAGGTCGAAATTATTGGCTGGCCTTATTTTTTTTTTGCGTATTTTCGGATTGTTTCGAGATTTCCGATTCACTTGTTTAAGGAACACACTTGTTTTTGTTTTTGGTTTTTTTTTTTTTTTTTTTTTTTTTTTTTTTTTTTTTTTTTGGTTTTTTTTTTTTTTTTTTTTTTTTTGGTTTTTTTTTTTTTTTTTTTTTTTTTGGTTTTTTTTTTTTTTTTTTTTTTTTTGGTTTTTTTTTTTTTTTTTTTTTTTTTGGTTTTTTTTTTTTTTTTTTTTTTTTTGGTTTTTTTTTTTTTTTTTTTTTTTTTGGTTTTTTTTTTTTTTTTTTTTTTTTTGGTTTTTTTTTTTTTTTTTTTTTTTTTGGTTTTTTTTTTTTTTTTTTTTTTTTTGGTTTTTTTTTTTTTTTTTTTTTTTTTGGTTTTTTTTTTTTTTTTTTGTTTTTTTGTTTTTTTTTTGGTGCCAATGTTTCAAGAAGATGGATCTTCCTCTGTAATTTCATCATCCCTGCAAATGTTTCCCATGCTGTCAGTTTCACCTGGAACAATGTCACCATATCCATGGCTCAAGGAGCTTAAACCTGAAGAGAGAGGATTGTATTTGATCCATTTGTTAGTCACTTGTGCAAATCATGTGGCTACAGGCAGTCTTGAAAATGCAAACATAGCCCTTGATGAAATTTCCCACCTTGCATCGCCTGATGGCGATACGATGCAGCGAATTGCTTCATATTTCTCCGAGGCTCTAGCAGATAGGATCCTTAGAACCTGGCCTGGTGTTTATAAGGCCTTTCGTTTGACTCAAATCACGATTTATGCAGAACAGGTTCTTGTGAGGAAAATGTTTTCCAAGTTCTTGCCATTTATGAAGGTTGCTTTTGTGATCACTAACCAAGCCATTGTCGAAGCCATGGAAGGTGAGAAGATGGTTCATGTTATCGATTTGAATGCAGCCGAACCTGCTCAATGGTGTGCACTCATTCAAGATTTAAGTGCACGGCCTGAAGGACCGCCCCATTTGAGAATAACGGGAATTCATCAACAAAAGGAAGTGTTGGAACAAATGGCTCATGTATTGATTGAAGAAGCTGAGAAATTGGATATCCCATTTCAGTTCAACCCCTTAGTTAGTAAACTAGAAAATCTTGATTTTGAAAAAGTTCACGTCAAAACTGGAGAGGCGCTGGCAGTTAGTTCGATTATGCAGTTGCATTTACTTTTGGCATCGGATTCTGAACTTAGGAAGAACTCCCTTCCGATGCCAATGAATGCATCCGGTGTTCACTTGCAAATGGTCAATCAAATGAACCAAAGTAGTTTACGTGAATTGCTTGAGAAAGATATGGTCAATAGTCGTAGTCCAAGTAATGACTCGGCTTCTTCCTCACCATTATATTCAACACCCTCTTCTAATATGGATAGCTTTCTTACTGCTTTATGGGGTTTGTCGCCAAAGATCATGGTGGTTACAGAACAAGATTCTGACCACAATGGGACGAGCCTAATGGAGAGGATATCGGAATCCTTGTACTTCTATTCTGCATTGTTTGACAGTTTGGAGTCTACTTTGCCTAGAACATCTTTAGAGAGAATCAGGATAGAGAAGATGTTAGGTGAGGAGATTAAGAATATTGTTGCGTGTGAACGAGCGGAGAGGAAGGAAAGGCACGAAAAGCTTGGAAAATGGGCTCAAAGATTTGATTTCGCTGGTTTTGCGAATGTCCCTTTGGGCTATTATGCTATGTTGCAAGCAAATAAATTGTTGCAAGGTTACAATTGTGATGGTTATAAGATCAAGGAAGAGAATGGTTGTGTCGTGATATGTTGGCAAGATCGACCCCTTTTTGCTGTATCAACTTGGAGATTTAGGAGGTGAATTCTTGAGTGATTTATCTTATAATCTTCTTCTGTGATTTAATTATAGGGCAAAACTTGGACTTCTTGTATGTAGATATAGATGG